CCATCAGCCGCCCTCCTCCCCTCCCCTCCCCTCCGCGGTGGTGGCGGTGCAGCCGGCGGCATTGTTCACAGGTCGTCACTCGCATCGTGTGAATGGTGAGACATGTGTGTAGTTGTGTCAGCCAGCGGTGATGGTGTTGCTGCTGCATCAGGATGATGGCCAGGAGTTGGGAATTACGTGTCCAAGTGCGTGCGCGGTGATGGGTCCGTGTCGTACTCCCGACAGCTCATTTCGCCCTGCCCGGCTCCCACGCCTGCCCCGCCCCCGCCCTCTGCCCCGCCCCAGCCTCAGCAGCAGTGGCTGCTACCCCCTCCCGCCGCGCACGCAGACGCCTGGCCCGGCCGGGATAGGGGTGGTTCTATATAAGGCGGGGGGCGGCCTCCCCTCGGCTCCAGAATCACCCAAGACACCGTCGGAGTACCGTTGGACCGGCGCGACCAACTGCTCATCCCGGAAACGGGAGCGACCCTCTGGACCAGGTAAGACTATGAAAAGTGCAACTCGTGTCTCCGGAATCAGTGCGACTTAACGGCGGAAATTCCTCGGTCGGTAGAGGTGTGTGAACTGTCGAACTTTGTCGATTTATACGGTGGAAGCAGGTCACTTTCACCGCGTCGTAGGACTATTTTCAAAGAGGGAGCAGGTTATCGGACATAAATCATCCCAGAGGGCGGGGATCACGGTCCCTCGGTGAAGACAGACTCACCCTCCCAGTTAGTTGTCCAGAGAAGGGAATTAATTTAGAGAAAATGGCATATTTGAATGTGTGCGCCGTGTGCCAGCGCCATCTTGGAGGTGACGCTCCTTCGCAAACACTGTTTTTGATTTTCGTCGAATTTTGAAACAAATTTTGAAAAAAAATTGAAACAAATCTTGAAACAAATCCATTTGATCTTCTGGTTGTTTACAATATTACTATCCTATCTCTTCTGGAATGTAACTTATTGTTGTAAGTGTCGGACTTAAGTCGTTTCCAGTAACTAAACGGACGACTTTTAAATGCCTCTAAGTGAGGGCGGGAAACAACACTGGGAATCATCAGGATAAAATTAATCGAAATCAACAGAAATCGCTTAAACTGGGGGGAATCTAGAAGAACTGGTACAAATTACTCGAAATAACCATTTTCCTACCACTGAAAAGACCTCAGGAACAAATATAAGCGGATGGAAATCAGTAGGAATCAATTATTTCGGGAATCATGTTTACACATCAAAGGGAGTTTTTGCAGCCTCGCCTCTAAGTTTGTTAGCTGCAAAAACCAAGACTATTGTGTTGGTTGTCTATTACCCCTTTGGCTTATATTTCGTGTAATGGCATGACTTTTTTTCCCGTGCCCCCCCCCCCCCCCCATTTTTAAACAGAGGGAGGAGGGGTAGGCTAACTTTTGAAAGTGATCATCCCCCGGCTGTCTCTGTGTGCCCCAAACATGTAATTCCACGCGGGCTGGCCTCTAGTGAACGTGTCGGTGTCAAAGCGCGCCAGTCAAAGTCAAAGGACCCGCGAAAGCCGACCGATGTAAACGACGGGGCGCGGAGCGTAGAGTCGCGACCATGTCGTGCCCTCGAGACATGTTTTGTTGTGTAGGGCAGGTAGAAATGCTGTATATAGCGATTCGCAGAAACCCTCCCGCGACGCGGTGGTGTGTATCCGCCCGCGCCCGCCGCGCACTCCTCGGCGCGCACCTGAGCTCGCCTCGGGGTTGTCGCGGCAGCAGGAGGAGGAGGACGAGGGCAAACAACCACCGCCACCGAGTGGTTCGGCGGGTCGCCACGCGTGCGGCCGGGGGGTAAAGTCAACGAGCGGCCGCGTCTCCAAGACAGAATTAAGCAGTCAAACACGGCCTCTGCCCCGCCGGCTCCGCTTGGCTCTGCTGCTGGTAGACACAGAGAGGCAGAGCGCGTGTGCATAATAGATGCCGCCGCTGTTGAGCAGCGGGTGCGCCACGCTCCGCCACGCTCCGCCACGCTCCACCCGCGACGCACCCGATAGCGCGTCACGCCCGTCGCCGTCGGCCAATATGTCTTTTCATTTCCACGCTCGCTGGTCCCTCCTAACACGCGGGCACGAGTAGTGGTGCTTGCTTGGAGTCGTACTCCTGGTGGCTGATTAACCCCGCAAGCCTATGACGGGGCCATCGTGTGTACGGCGCCGTGGTCAGCGACGATAGGCGAACCCGCACGCACGCCTGCATGAGGTACAGTATCTTTATGTACGAAAGTGCGCGGGGGGCTAAACAGTCTCCATCAATCTCCGACTTAAAATGTTATGTCCTTTTATTACCAAAAATATGTACTTCGTTTGTGGACTTAAAATGTTTCACATAATTACGTAGGAGTGCTCCCAGTGCTCCTATTGAGTGAACAAACAAAAGAAAACTTCTGCTCAGTCCGAATCCCGCGCCCGGGCACACAGAGGGTGCATGCACGATTCCGCGAACAATAATTACAATGTGTCAACATTGATGTTTTCCTGCGCACTGCATCGGCAAACGTTTGGAGGGTGGGGGAGGGGAGTGATATTCAGGCACAACACAGCCTTGTGCGCATCATTGCTTCGCGCACGATGTGCTGCACGCACGTCTCCGCATCGGTAAGAGGAAACGAAAATCTAAACGGCGTCTTCGATGGTAAACGGCGGCGGCGGCGCGCCACTCCAATGGAGCCGCGCTCTATTTACTCAAGTAATCGAGCCCTAGCGCGCAAATATATGCGACTCCTCTCGGCCGGAGCCGCGGGGGCGCGGGTATGGCGCAGCGGAGAGACTCGTAGCCTCTCTAGTGGCGCAAACGCCCCGTTAAATACTGAGCCCGGAGGGCGCTGCCAGGGGTGGGGCGACTGGGCGGGCCGTGTTCTGATCCTGATCAGTGGCGGGGGAGGTTCCCCACCCTGTTCATTACGCTAAAACGACCGAAAACATGCCCCGTCCACCACGACCTGTCCCGGCCCGGCCCTAGCCCGCCCCGAGCTCTCCCGGGGGCATGCTTTGATTACATTTGTTGACCCGTGGGTCGGCGGGTCGTACTGGTCGTGCCGTGCGTCGTGCGGCTCGGCGCTGCTGGCTTTGCCTGTTGGACTGTTGGGTGAGAGGGCCACCCCCGGTGTCCCCGCTCTGCCTCCGGGGCAAGCTGACCTCCGGGAACTCCAGGGAGGACCTGCGAGGCTGGCCGAGCCGGGGCCGGGCGGGGCTGCTTGCTTGCTTGCACTGCGCACCTCCCACCTCCCCCCTCCTCCTGCCTGGCTGCACGACGTGCTCGAGGGATGCGCTGGCGTCCATCTCGCTCCCACCACACGATTTACCCGAATTTATCGGGGCCTGAAAAAGAGCGGGACGGTAAATTTATTTTAGAAAGTTAATTAATTAATTATTTTCGTTCTGTGTTTGCCAGCGCTGAGTGGAGCCCCGCGATGCTCAACTTCGGCCCGCTCGCACTGCTCACGAGTGGTAAGTAATGTTGACTTGCTAACCGACTTCTTGTAGGCGACGCGCCGGCCTGCCTGCCTCCTCCGGCCTTCCGCACTAGAAAATCGACAAACAACTGAACGTTGTGCTGCAGAACGGAGAGCAAACACGGGGAGCGTTGCCGAGTACCGGGGCGACGGGTGCGCAGCGGGGAGAGCAGGGTGTGCCTTCCTACCACGCTGCGTAGAGATGTGGAGACACCCGGGGAGTGGGGGAGGTGAGGGGAGGACATCCCTGACTTGACTTGACTAATCACGAGTCCTCTTTTGGCCCAAGGTTTTCCCTTCAGTATGATTGTACCTGTTCTGTGGGAATCAATGGGGTAGAAGAAATCCATACGTCGGTCTACACACACGAGCGACACGTCTTGCTCGGCTAGCAGTCCACGTGGTGGTGGCGGTGGTGTCTCAGTCTCGAGTGGTGTTCACAGAGAGAAAGAGAGAGGAGAGGGGATTGGGGGGGGGAGCCTCCCCTAATTACCATCCTAGTGCTCCACCCTGCCTCAGACAGGTGTGTCCTTTGATCGTCGCGTGGGAACGCCCCCGGCCGGGCCCCCCGCAGCCCTCCGGCCGTCCCCGCGGAGCCTCCCCGCACCCCCACCCTCTCTCCCCCCGCTGCCGGCGCCGCGGTGGAGGGACCCACCCTCCCCTTGTCAGGACCAGATCGGCCGGAACCGGATCTGTCTGCTGCAGGGCTGCTGCTGTGCTTCCTGGTGGCGCCGCTGGCCGCCCAGTCCTGCACGTCGTGCGGGCCCGAGTGCGTGTCGGCCTGCGGGTCGCGGCGCTACCGCACCTGCTGCTTCAACTACCTGCGCAAGCGGCGCTCCCCCGCCGCGCCCGGCGCGCCCGCCTCCGAGATGGCCGAGATCGCCGGGGCGGCCGTCGGCGGGGTGCAAGTCCCGGGGGACGCGCTGGGGTCCGACGACCTCCGGCTGCAGCTCGTCCTCTTGCCCAGCGATCACCTCGAGGAGGGTCAGGTAACTTGTGCTTTCTACCGCCAGCTCGCGTGGTACTTCCCCGCGAGCAAACCCGATCATCGGTCTCTCTGTCTGCCTGCAGGATGCGGCTGGCCCACTTGTCGGCTTCAACGGCGCGCAGAGCCTTCTTCGGCGGCTGCTGGACGGACAGCCGCCCACGGACAACGAGGGCGGCGGGGGCAGCAACGGCGGCAGCAGCAGCAGCAGCAGCGGCAGCGGCAGCAGCGGGGAGGCGGCGAGCGCCCCCGCACCGGCCACCCTGCAGCGACGCCGGGCGGGGGGCGGCGCGGGGCCGGCGGCCGCGGGCAGGGACTGGCTGGCGGACCTGCGAAGACGCGTAGGGCTCATGTACAACGTGTAGCGGGGCCGCAACGTCTGACCCTCATTCACACCTCTCGCGAATGAACGGGCCGCAGGCGCGGAACCACCGCCAAAGCTGGCGTGCGCCTGTGGCTGGGGTTGCACGCCAGCTGTCCGGACTTGGAGCGAACCGGCGGCTGGCCGTTTATAGCACTTTATTATTCACACACACGAAATAATAATAAAAAAAACACGCTGCAGTTGTTCTGTGCGCCTTCCGCAGTTTTCACTACGTAGTTTTGCTTTTGAAGATGAGAAAAGAGAATACTACTGCTATATCAATACAGTTCCCTCTTGGTTGATAATGTGTAGGTTTCATGTTTCATTTTATTAAAAACTATGTAAATAGATATGTTGGTAAAAAAATGCTCCTTCTATCACCAGTGTCTTTCTTAAAACCTTACCAATAAAAATGGTTGTTCAAATCTGTTAATTTGATAACAAAGTACACATTCTGAACTACTGATATTGATCTTGAATTGTTCCACAATCCCCAAATGACCACCCTGGACCTGCGTCTAATCTATCCAAAAGGATAAAAGGCAAAATCCTAAGTAAATTTTGTTGTGACGGTCGAATCCATATTTACACACACCATGTTCGCATGAAAGTAGTGACCAGTTAAATATTCAAACTCAAGATCAAAGCTATGTTTCTGAAAGATGTTCAATGTCTCAAAGAAAAACTCCAAACATTGAATGGTGCCATTTAAAAAGTGGTACGGTTTGCATAAAAGTAGTGTTCTTTCCAAGGGAGAATAAAGAGGCATGGAATATTAGAATCCTTTGCAAGGCAGTAGGTCTAAGCCAAAGTTGGGAATGAAATAAAAGTAAAACAGTAAAACATATAAATAAACAAATAAAATAATTTAGATGGATCAGCCAGGAGGGTCACCTTTACCATGAGAAAGAGCGGCCTTTCCTGAAGCCTTTACATAAGCGAAGGATGCATCCTTGTTCCCAATCTTCCAATTTTCATATAAGAATTGCTGGTATTTCAGATCAGCAGGGACAAGGACAATAGCTGTATTTTATTGAGCGTGCAAAAAGCAAACACTACAAAACAAAAGATACTAGCAAGCTTTTTTGGAGATTTGTATCGCTGCAATGCACCACTTGGTGCAAATAGATGATGCAGTAGTCAGTGCCCCGATTGGGGCCTTTCTGTTTGAACTAATGAGGAGTCTCTTTCATTCAAGCTTTCTGTATGGTATGCTCAGACTTGAAAAAAAAATCATGCATATTATTTAAGAATAAAGAATATGAAAGTATTCTCATTTTTGATCCTCATGGTACTTGCTACTTGCTCTCATTTTTAAAGGATCATTCAAATTTTAGCCAATGGATACATCTCATTGTCTAACTTAAAAATCAGTCACTCTCTAATTCTGAAATGTGGATCATCTACTCTTTACGTCACCCTATTATCCCATTTTTCATCAAACTCTTCTTCGCACCTGAGGTATCCACAAGCGTCCAGATCTGTACTATTTGATCTTACAAGGGTTCAAACTTATTAAGATGTATCAATTAAAATGTTTTGCCAGGCAGTATTAGGTACAATAATATTCCTGCCATGCCAGTTTTCAACATATAGGAACTATATGCTGAACAGCTAAAGCACAATCGTTTCTCTTCCCAATTATATCAGATGTTAGAGAAAATCTGGAATGGAACTTCAAACACAGGAGTTTTAGGTTGTTTTCTTCATAATGCATTCGCCCCATTCATTCAACTCTCTTTATGGGAGTTGCTTCTTCCATAAAGTTACCTCCCCCCCCCCCCCCAAAAAAAAAAACACTATAAAAATATGTGATTTTGATTCATTGCAAGAAAATGTTTATTCACATCAATTATTTCATCAGTCTGATTGATGCATGGCTTCATACGGAACAATTACTTCATATTTTCCTTTAACTGCCAATGATTCTTACCACATCTAAATACTGCACAGATCTGCATCCATTAGATTAGAAAATGTATCATTGTCTCTCCTCCGTGAGAATTTTCCATTCTTGTTAATTAATATTTGTCAAGTAGTTTGGAAACCTGTTTGATTTCAATTCTTTGATTCTGTAAATAAGAACAGAGACAAAGAATGGTACAAGTGGTAAATTTTTTAGAGGCTGTTTATTTTTCCTTTCACAAGAAAAGTTCTCAGTTATGTACTTCCAAAATGATATTTGAGCACCAAAATATTTATATATTTCCACTCAAGCAGATAGATAATGTGGGAATATTATTGAGGTTGCTTTTCCTTAAGGGAAAAGTTTTTGAAGATACATGGGCTTTATCATCTATCTCTATGTACAATGTAGCTGACATGGCACAAACAGAAAAGGATAACAAAAAACATGATTCAGATTGTCTTGAAAGAAAACAAGAATCATAGGTCAAGTGATTAGGTATGTCTGCGTCAAAGTTGTCTAGGATGAAAAGAGATCTACAGTATACGCAATTCAAATTTCTGTCTATACTCCTAATCCACCTTATGTAAAAATAGTTCACATCTTTTAGATAGAAATTTTTATATAAATAAATATGGCTATTACCCCTGGAGGAGTTCACACAAGATATGAGCTCAATAGAAAAATTTATGCGTCTTTAAAATACAGATACTTTTAAGAATTCCGACAAAAATATGAGTGACCAAAGATTCACAAGGTCTCAAACTAGATAGTCCTACCTGATAATAAGCTCTTTAGAAAGAGATCATGAACTATATAATGTACGAATAACACACTTATGTTGCCATATTACACCTGTTCTATAACTAGACCACCGGAAAGACTGAGCAATTATTACGAATAAATACAAACATCAGAAAAAGTTGCTCCTTCTGTGCTGAATAGAAGATATATGTCATTTGTAAATATGCTTATGAAAAGAAAGCCCCTATTCATTCAATTTAGTTAAAAAGAAACTATCAACAAAATACAAACAATATCACAAGGTTACAAACCATAAACAAAAAGTTCATTAAGGCAATGACATTTTGGGTTTCGTTACAGCCACACTGAATCTCACAAGTCCTAAACAACCATGGTAAACTATCACACCATAGGAATTTAGCAAAATAGGAGTTTAGAATGTTGAAGTAAAATCAGAATACAAGGAACAGTTTGTCATTCCAGAGATGAAATGACATTAGTGACAATATATCAAGGTTGTTGAGGAAACCAGTGGATCATGGCATTTTCCTTTCAGAGGGCTGACGGAGAACTGAATGACAACTTTCCGGATCAGTAACTAAGATGCTATATCACAATCTCTGCTTGTCACACCGCTAGTGTGGAAAGTAATGGAAACATTTATTGCTATTTGCTGAACTATTGCCCCGTCTGGAATTTCACAAGTTAAGTAGCCTGAATTTGGGGAACATACAAACAATTCAACAATTACTTTCACATTAGCAATGTATACTTAAAAAGGAAAACTCTTACTTCCATATAGAATAATTAACTATAAATTAAAAAAGAGAAGTCTATTAGAGCCTCTGGCCAACAAGAAATCATAGCTCTTTATAACAAAAATGGCTTTGCCAAACAAAATTCATTAATAATTTATAAACATAATCATGACTCATTCGGGAATTTAAACAAAAGCAAGGCATAGTAATTTCTGTTTAACAGATACCAATGGTGAGGGAGTAAAATTAAAACATAATTTGAAACAGAAGTTAAAATGTAGACTTTGGTCACATTAGGAAGGATCAGACTACCTTCAAAAAACAAAAGACTTCATTCATATGCACTATATGTTAAAAACTGACTAAAATCAATACTTCCTAAATTTACACACTTGCAAATTCCACATCAACATTTAATTTTTAACTTACAGAAAGTGCAACATACCTAATATACACATATTTCGGCAAACATGCGGTTTGTCACTTCCCAATCATACACCCTTGCATACAAACACACCCATGCTCACACACAAATACACAGTTAAGGAAAGACATCAAAACGCAGGCACATTCTTATGAAAATATTTACAAGCGCAAGAGCGCATAGTAAAGTATTATGTGCATTGCAACATTAAGTCTTAGACATAAACTATACTAAGCAGGCAACGGCTCTTAAAGGGATCCCCATACTTGTGTAACAAGAATGCAGAAATTTTCTTTATCATTAACAATCAGACAGAAGTAAAGTCAGCCAGGCTGCTGTCTTCTTTTTAGGCGCTTGACTTGGATGGGCATTTTAAGGTGTTGAACTTTGAGAATCATGGGAGAACATCTGAAGCTGGTGCCTGCTCTGTAAGTCAGATTTCCTCTAGTACGCCTGAAACAAAGGAACAGAGACAGATTAGTTGTTGTGATCAGGATAACAATAGATGGTTCAATCACGATTACATTAACGGGACTCACCTTTACTGTAAACGCCGTGTCGTATCCCCCCTTGCCCTGCATTTGTGTCTGGATCGCTCTCAGGTGGGAGTTGCCCATCTCCACGTCGCCAGACCCGATGTGGCCCGTGTGCTTAAAGTTGGTCGGCTCACCAATCATGGACCGGTCAATCCGCCGCCGCTGAGCAGGCTGTTGTTTCCGCTGCAACAGTCAAAACACAATTCAGAGCCACATTCACCAGCGTTGCCGTACTAACTTGTTGCAACCAGAAGGAAGTAGTGTCAACGTCAACCTTGTCTCAACCTCAGCCCTCACACCAACCACCAACCAACCAACCAACCAACCAAAGACTCACCCTGTTCGCCGGCTGGTTGAGGCAGCACGAGAACCACTGGAGCCACATGTCCCCCGACATGTTGGTAGATTGGAGTCCCGACATCCTCAATCTGCAACAGAACGAGAGAAAAAAGATGAGAACTACAACACTACAGGACATCATTTAAAAAAAATAACTCTGCACACATTGGCACACATGGCGGCGAATCAGATTTTGTTTAAGTGCCATTTATGGTGATATTCACAGCAATGCAGTGTGAACACGGTGTCAGTGGCTGCTACATATGAGAGAAGGACGAGAGGATTTGTTTGTCAGACCTGCACCACACGGCCAACAGACATCTGATAATTCTGAGATGGTCACGCCCAAAATAAAACGGAAACGTCGCGAATAAATCATGCCTAAGTATTATTTTTTTTTATCATCGACACCTATATTCGCCGATTTTATTTGTTTTACCTGCATTTGAACTTAGCTAGTGAATAGCAACGCCATCGTGGCCTCTCAGTGCTAGCGCACGTTTTTGAAAGTGGGCCTTGAAGTTCACGAGCAACATACACAATCACGGATCGGCAGGTGATCAGAGCCCGAGCACAGGCGAGCCGGGGAAAGGACCCGGGTGGAAAGGAAGAGGAGGAGGGGGGAGGGGGGCAACGGCCTAATTGGAGCTCCGTGTAGAGAGGGAAAGGGGGCACCAGGTGTAAAAAGGGCTTACACCGTAGGGCCGGGCCGGGCTCGGGGCCCTTCCCTGCCCTCGGCTTGCGTAAGACCCCAGCCTGGGCTTGTTCTACGATAATGCGCCGTAAGTGACTCGGCCGCCCAGCCTGCTTCTCCACCCAGCAGCCTCCATTCCCCAGCCACGCCACGCCACGCCACGACACCGCGGCGGCGCGGAGGCGACAAAGTAGTAAGTCGAACACAGCAGAGCAAAAGCAAAGCGTTATAGTGTGGCGAGAAAAGCACGCGAATAATTAATATGCGCGGAGCACGCCAAGGAGAAGGGGCGTGGCCGGCGCGCGGCTGTTTGGCGTCGTCGTCTGCCGCCGCAGCGACGCGTGCCGTCCGTGACCCGCGCGTCTCGTCTCGTCTCCCGGCGGCGGCTCGCCCTAATGGGCGCCCGCTCCGCTTCACCTGCTTCTTCCTCCTGATGGGCGCCCTGCAGCGAGGCTGCAGCGCGGCGCCCCGCTCCACTGCTCCGCTTCTTCCTCCTGCTCCTCCTCCTCCTGCCCGAGTGCCCGCGGCACAGCAGCGCGGCGCGGCACGCCCTGATGATGGGCGCCCTGCAGGCTCCTCCCGCTATCCGCTTCACCTGCTCCCTGCGCCCGCTGGCTGGCTGGCCCGCTTTATAGCGACAGGCGCCGCCCTGCCCGGCTCAGCACCGCAGTGCAGCGCGACGGGTCTGCCTATCCGACCGGGCGCCCCTAGGCCACAGCCACACCTCGGCCCACCTCCAGGTACCGTCTAGAAAGTACGTCCGTTACTCCCACATTCGCAGTCGGCAACTTAAGGTGAGGCTCGGGGCGCCTGCGAAACGCAGGGTAGGCCACCCCGCAGTGCACGCGCGCGCCGCAGGATTCACGTTGCCTACCCATCAGGCGCTACAGGATCTGTCGCATC